GTGTGTGTGTGTGTGTGTGTGTGTGTGTGTGTGTGTGTGTGTGTGTCTAAGTCTGTGTATCTGTGTGTGTACATAGGGAGGACAGAGGTGAACAGGAGACAGCAGATGTCCTCCTCTATGGTAGTGGTTCTTAACCATCCTAATGCTACAAACTTTTAATAGTTATTTGTGTTATGTCAACCCCAACCATAAAATTATTCCATTGCTACTTCAAAACTGTAAATTTTCCACTATTTTGAATAATAATGTAAATATCTGATGTGCAGGATATCTGATAAGTGACTCCCAAAGGGGTTGAGACCCACAGGTTGAAAACCATTGCTCTATGTCTTTCTACCTCTTTTAAGACAAGTTTTCTTACTGTACATAAAGCCTGATGTTTAGGCTACACTTGTAGACAGGCCAACAAACTCTCCCAAGATCCTGTTCCCATTTCAAGGCTGAGATCTACAGAGCCTTTATTTGCATACTAGAGATCTGAACTCCGGTCTTCTTGCCTTCCCAGCAAAAGCTCTTACTCACTGACTGGATCTATGAAATGGGGATCTCACTATGTAGCTGAAACTAGCCTTGAACTTATAATCCTTCTGCCTCAATCTTCCAAGTGGTGGACTACCACGCCTGATTTAGACCATTTTGTACAACCCATCCCATCTTTACTAAAGAAATGTTTGTAACAAATGTTTGTTTTATATCCATGCTCTTATCAAACCCAAGCCTCCTGAATGTCAGGCGACCCCTCTAACTCCAAGCTACACCTGCCCCTGCTACAGTTGTAAATCCAACTATACTCTTAGAAATTAATTTTACTGTTTTATTTGTCATGGTGGGGATGGAATCTAGGGCCTTGTGCAGGCACTGAATCTACTGTACATGAACTGAGTTCCATTTCCAAGTCTTAATCTCATATTAATTTTCAATTTTACAATTAAGTGTAAAATTAATTGTTTCAAAACACTATTGAAGTGTGTAGGACTTATTTCCACTAAAAACAATTTCTTAAAAAAAGCACAGGTATTAATAAAGACAACACTTTATGTGTGTACAGCACTGGCACAGCCCTGTGTCATCTAGGAGAGGACTAAGCCCTCTATTTCCCTGTACATCACATCCAGAGCTGCCATGTCCTCTCTGCTCATTTCTCTGTACGTTCTGAGTAAGAATAAAAGATCTTTCTATTCCCATTTAGTTACAGTCGTGGCATTCATTTGGAAGAGTCCATGAGAAGGACTGAGAGGGTTGCCAGGCACAGCAGTCATATCTGTGACATCAGCATTTAGGGGACTGAGGGAGAACTGACATGAGTCTAAAGCTATACTATGACCTGCCTCAAGGAACTAAAAATAGGGATCAAAACAGGTAGAAAGGTCAAGGTGAAGATTAAAATACCGGCCAAATTCACCCCAACAAGAGAAGATGAGACTTGGAAGATGGGATCCAAAAGCAATGAGCGCACTGTCTGTTGCTCAGTAAGCTGAGAAGCTGACATGGTATCTATACACAATGGCAGCAACCTAATCATGGGTGTTAAAATCTATTTATTATTTATTTTGGGGGAGAGGATGTCACTGTGTAGCACTGGTTGGTTTGGAATTCACTACAATGTAAAGCAGACTAGCTTTCAACTCACAGATATACTCCTGCCTCTGCATCCCAAATGCTGGAATGTGTGCACCACCATACTCAACACTGTCGCCTATATTTTACCAAGGGGTATCAGAAGTCATTTCTCTAGTAAATTATTTAAATCCTGATATAGCTGAGGTATAGAAGAAAAAAAATGTATACCAAAGAAATATTATAAGCTCAGGTCTGGCACATCAAAAAAAAAGTATGAGCAAGAGACAACTGGACAGAATGTCTGAATGTCTGAATTCCATCCACCCTTGCCTTTTCTTTATTTGGACACAGAGACTCACTATAAAATCCAGGCTGACCCCAAATGTACTATATTTATTTAGACCAGAGAAAACTGGAACTCACACCATCCTTCAAACTTTCTCTGCATCCCAGGTGTTAGGATATAGTTCAATATTAGTTAAAGTTACTGGATTTTCCCAGCACCCACCTGTCCTAGATAACAAGAGAGCCATGGGCTTAAGGACTTACCAATGTGAGGCTGGTGGGCTGCTGCAAGTGCATACTGCTGCTGTTGGGCAGCTGTCAACTGCTGAACAGCAAGGGCATTGGGTCTTTGGAATAGCTGATGCAAGAGAAAGATGCTGTAGTTAGAGAACTGTATTGTGAAATGATGTTTAAAAGCTCATAACAATTTCATTAGCCTCTGCTACATATGCTACTTTGACAGAACAGGATGCCTGTGCCTGCTCTACCCCCTGGAGAAATGCTTCAACCTACCCTTCCTCTCTCACTACTTCAATTCTTTTTGCCCTCTTCATAGACTGGTTGTATGTCTCATGTTCCCTAAATTACTGATATACACATATAGGCAAAATTCCTAATGGCTGCAGCAATGTCCACAGTGACTAGAGGTACACATTAAAGTTAGGCAAAAATGTTTCAGAATGACTTCCTCATGATCCCAAGGGTTAGTACACCCTCATGTCTTTTAAGACCCAACAAACACTGAGCTCTTCACTACTCATGCTTTGGAGAAGATGAGAAAAGTTTACTTTATTCTCTAAGGAAATTATTTTGCATCCCTTCCTAAACTAGCATTCATTTTCCTGGTGAATGAATTAGAGAAATGTCTGGCTTTGGGAGTTTCAGGATTTCCTAGATCTTATTCTTCTGATGCAGTAAAAAGAACAGAAGCGCAGTTATTGACAAATTTTCATTGTGAACTATTATGGTTCCTGCCACCAAGCCTAACAACCAGAGTTTAATACAAGGACCCAAAACTGTCCTCTGACCTCCTGTACTGGTGGCACCTACATTTGCCCACAAACGTTAAAAAAAATAAAATAAAATTTGGATTGTGAACTCATACCTAGCATACTTAATTCATAAGAAAGGAGAAAAGGTGCAAAATCCTTCCCACAAAAATTATCCCATGACTGTACATATTAATATATAATATTAACACTCAATTGCTTCCCTATTCATTTAACAAATATTCACTATGTAAGGAAAAAAAATGTAGCTGTAAGTACATAAAAGCCCTCGCCTGCTTTCCTAGACATAACATTTTATCAGGAATAATGATGAAGAAAGAGGAAGCTGGCAGCCTTACTGTATAAGAAGACCTCAACAGGCTTCCTTCCAGAGACTTCTTGAGTACCTAAGCAATTGCTGATTAGCCCTATTCCCAGAACACAGCTTCTAGCCACCTGTTCTTTCTACAGGACCCAACAATAGCCCAGTTCCCATCACTGCGTGATACATAACAAATACTACAGAACTTGTACTACAAGAAGGTGCCATCTCCAACTCACCTAACTTAATATTGCAACTATTCTTGCTCTTAATATATACAACAGAGATTTACTCCTGTGGCCTGGCTCTGTACCTCTATGTCTCAAGCAAACATATGCTGATATCAAATAAAAAGTTGAGGGGATGAAGAGATGGTTCAGCAGGCTACAGCACCTATTGCTTTTGCTCCAGGTTCAATCCCAGGACCCATGTGAGCACCAGGTAAAGATGTGGTACACACATACACACACATACATGCATGCTTACATTCATGTACATAAATCTAAAAATAGTCTTTAATTGTTCTTTGTGTACATTTGGTGTTTGCCTGCATGTATGAGGGAGTAAGATCCCCTGGAAAGCAAGTTACAGAGAGTTGTGAGCTGCAATGTGGGTGCCAGCAATTGAAGCTGGGTCCTCTGGAAGAGCAGGCATTAATCTTAACTGCTGAGCGAACTCTCCAACCCTCTACAAATATTTTTAAATAAAAAGTTGCATATGCTGAATACAGTGGCCAGTTTAACCTTTAGTTTACCCTCTACACCTCAATCTTTCTAAAAACAAAACAAAACAATCATCTTGCTAGTTCATGGTACAAACAGGAAACAATCATAATCATATACAGATTTTTTTTTTAACTTTGGCTTTCCCTTTCAAGGGATAAAGAAAAACTTCACCATGGTGCTAAAAAAAATAAAAAAGGTATTACCTTTAACAAACACCAAGCACTGAAATGGAGGGACTAGATAATTTCTCAAGAATTCAAAACAGTCGTGCACCCTAGGATGGGAGCTAGTCAGTATGACTTAGAAAATTCATGTGTAGGCTTTGCAAGTTTATCTCAAGAACAGTGCCTCTAGCAACTGGAGGCAATCCACATATGAGGAGCAGCCAAGAAGCAAAAAATAAAAAGAGACTGGGAATATAGCTTACTGGAAAAATTTAGCATGCAGGAGGCCCTAGGTTCAATCCCAAGTAACAAAAATAAAGAAAAAAAAAAAAAAGCTAAGGTAAAAAACAAACCTAAAACCTTTTTTTTTAAATGATTTATTTATTCACTTATGTGCATTGGTATTTTATCTGCATGTATGTCTGTATGAGGATGACAGATCCCCTGGAACTGGAGTTAGAGACAGTTGTGAGCCACCATGTGGGTGCTAGGAATTGAACCTGGGTACTCTGGAAAAGCAGCCAGTGCTCTTAATCTCTGAGCCATCTCTCCAACCCCTAAACCTTTGAAACAGTCACATTCTCATCAGTTGTTTCAATTTGTTTATTTTCCACCCTCACAGTCCTACTGTAAACAAACCCATCTCACTGAAAAGTCCCACTGTTGGACTTCAACATAGTGTAGAGCTAGGAGATAACAGTCATACAACACACACATACACACACAAAATGTAACTGCTAAGGCATCCGGACATGATCCAATACCACTCTATCAGACTTTCCTCACTATGTACTTCATGTAGTATTACATAACTCATTATATACTGTAAATATACAGAGAAATACATATATGTGAATAGCATAAAAGCAATAATCCCTTGTAAGCTAAATCTGCAGTCCCCACCTTCACGTGGTCTCATTTCAAGTTAAGGATTACTACTGCTATCAAAAAACACATGCATTAGACTCGTAGGAGCCCCCATCCAGTCTTGTGGCAATGACTGCTTAACAATTAGTGAATATAAGAAAAATGGGAGATTTTCTTGAAATCATTTTGTAGTAAACAATTTAACAAAAGCTAATTATGTATCCACAGCCATTAGATTTGATTATAGACTACATTACATCAATTTTGGCACATCCTTTTTGGTGCAATATTAACTAGAAATAGAGTACTCAAAACAAAATTGGGTAATTGGCAAGTGACAGACTCCAAAGATCCTAAAAAGCTCACACTAATGCCATCTGGTGGGCAGGCCCCTGAGATCTGCTACCACTGTCATGATTTTCACAAAGGGGCCAATGACCTGCAACTGAGCAATGAGCACTGTGAGCACTAGGAAGTGCTTATGGAAAGAAAACACAGTGATGAACATCTATGCTGATTACATTTTATTCATAGACAACACAAGGGTAATCCAGCAGCTATTCCAAAGTAATGTAGGGATTCACAATAAATACTGAAAGGACAGTCTGGGTATCTGATGACAAACTGCTTTGACTTCCTTCTGTATCCACTACATGAGTTTACAAAAGGCAGTGTTCCTATTTCAAAAAGAAATGGGCAGCTCAACACATAGGATGCAAACGTGCCATGCAATGGGAATTTTATAAAAGGTAATTATTACCAGAATGGTTTGAAAAACAAAAAAGAACTATTAATATTATTATTATAATCATAGTTAGCATAAAGTACTACTGCTGCCATACACAGGTGGTCCCAGCACTCTACAAGGATCAGTATTCAAGTTCAGCTTAATCTGCATGACTGCCTGTTTAAAGAAAATAAATAAAACAAACAACAAAAATCTAGAACTAAAGAAACATCCCCAGCTCTCTGCACACGCTCAGCAGCACGGTGGGTTTTCTGGTGTGGAGAGCAGCATACAGCAGAACTGAGAGGACATCCACACTCACTCCCACGTGCAATGTTCCTTGACTTTGGGGTTTTATGTTTTTGTTTTCCTGGTGCTGAGATCTAATAGAGGGTCTGTCACAGCAAGCCCACTAGCACTGAGCCAAATCATAAACCCCCACCCCCCCCCCAAAAAAAACATGTTTAAACAGTCTTCATTTTTCATAATCTTAAGGCTACACAATGGGCTACTATCAAGAACAGCAATGACTCCGAATTTTCATCATAAACTCGGGCCAGTTACTTAGTATCACTGTGCCTCAACTTTCTCCTCTACCTAAGAGAAAAACAAATATCTAGTACCTAAAGTTGTTGCCAGACCTTTATGTGAGCTAAAAGTGTTGCCTGATTACCTAAATTTAATAACCAGATTCTACACAACAGGAGAAAACTTCCATAAACTGTCCTGCACGGATTCCCTCCTCTCCCTTCCTGCCTTCCTACCTCCCTCTCGCACCCACACAGATGTTTTTGGAACTACAAGGAAGGATGCTAAGTTATCATATAAGAATGGTTTTCTAGATATACTCCTTTCAAAATTAAAAATAAATAAATAAATAAATATGGATAAAGCTGAATGTGAAGATAAGACAGAGCTACATACAAACACTGCTATACTCCTAGAATAAAAAAGTCTGAAGGGAGCAGCCTGGCACTGGGAACCACAAGGTCTCAAGTTTTACTGTTGTGTTTTTGTGTGTCTGAGTCAAGGGTCAGTAGTCCATATACACACATGCACACCAAACACTGACACACATTAAATAAACAAATGTTATATTTAAACAACAAATATAACAACAAAACCTTCATTATTCCTTAGCAAATAAGAAACTAATTTCAATCACATGCCTTTAAGCCCAGCAAAGGCAGGTGGATCTCTGTGAGCTCAAGGGCAGCCTAGTCTATAAAATGAGTTACAGGATAGCCAGAGCTAAAAAGGACCTGTATCAAAATACAAGGGGGGTGGGGGGGGTGATGATGATAAACTAATTTCAAGGTAAATGATTTCAAACTGAGATCTCTTATCAAAACTAAAATGCAATCCTCTACCAAATAACTGTTTCTGTATAACTGAGCAAATTAAAACTACACTTGGGTAACCTTCAATCACTGTATCACTCACTAGTCGATATCAAGTATTCCTCAGTAACAACACATAGGACACTAATGGAATAATTACTTGTGAATTTAAAAAACGATTTGCATTAAAGCTATGCAAATAAGCCAGTGTGATGGTTAGATGA